CGCCATCTGTTGGACTACCGTGGTAGTTGAAATGAATGCAATCTATCGTTCCCAGTTCTAGGGTGACCACCCGAACGAGCTCTGAGCGACTAATGACACTCCTTCAGCGGATTTGAATAAAGGTTAAATTTTACGACGACTAAAATGTGGTTGATGCAAATGAAAACGTATTTTAATCTGAACTTCATTTACAGTACAGGCTAAAGATGTTCAAGCCTTCCATTTTCCTCAAGACAATGGCTTTAATCGTGACCCAGAACTTTCCTATTAATTTGACGTTTCGGCTTCTGGCACAAAAGCTATTATCAGATTTTTCATAAACAACACTGTCATTTGTTAAATATCCCCAAAAAGGGTTCCTATTTCAGGAAAGTCGGAATGTTATATTAAACAGGAAATTTGACAGCACGTTTAAAGTCGCTGTCTTGCAAAAGGTGAAGAAATCGAGACGGTATTCTTTGAATCTCTTGACTTGTCCACAGTTGCTACGTTGCAACTGTTAGGTCCCGCTGTTCTTAAGCGTAGACTGCCTGCCGTTGAAAACTGAATCAGTCTACGATTTAGGTCAATTACGGCAAATTTTTAAAAATTGATTTTCGATTTTGAACTCCATTCCCTCAATACCGTCTTTCATTAACGATGTCCTATGGATAAAGGCGCGGCAGGAGATAACAGGCCATGAGGAGGGCATCGATTCAGAAAAATAGTCGTAGTTTTCTTAACACTTACCGCCGTCGGAGTTCGGCTTGTTCGAAAACATGTTTGAGGCGGCAGATTTAGTCCTCACCAGACGGCCTCACATCATGACTACCACTGACTGACCTCGAATTACATACAGCAACGCAACTACACGAGCTCGTCCAAGTGGCGCAGTGACCAGAAAGCTTTGCATAGCCATGTCTTCAATGGTCAGACGAAATTTAACGGTACAGTTTTATAAGAATTGAATTAAAACCATTTATTATGACTTAAAAAAATGTGGAAACAAACGCCAACTTTACTCTTTTATAGTTAAACTTATCCTGTCAAACTTTACACCGTGATACAACGTTGGCTTTGCTCAATATTCGTTTGTGTGCTAAACAGTCATCTGCAGATTATCCTCATCCATCTGTTTCAACCAACTGCCGAATGACAGTTTTCCAAAGTTTCTATAAGTAACCCGGCATTTCTTTCTCTGCTCCAAAAGATGCGAAAAATCAAAAAGTTCTCCGCAATGATACATGGACACTTATTTTGTTCCCTGCCCATTTCTTTGAGCTCCATTATTCAACCTCTAAGCTTCGTAAAATCCGTTCAGTAATTCAAAGACAACAGTTTCCACTCCGAACTTTTCATTCCTTTTTCTTCTGCTAGTTAGCTAGTTTCTTCTGATCCTTCAGTTCTGCGGTTTGAAGGTGCAGCTACTGTAGACCCTTACACGTGGCACGAACATTGAGACAAGCCAATAACTGGCTATTCTAAGCCTCAGTGGTTCCCCTCTTCTAAGAACCGTCTGCGGGCTATAGGACGACTCTGAACTCAGTCGTACTGCGTATAATGCGTATAAATTGTTTCTTTAGCCAATAAAAATCATGCGAGATGAGCAGAGATATATCACATACATATACAAAGCTATAAACACGCTCCCATGCCGTGGACTACGAGGAAAAACAATGCAGCATGATTATGCGGTGTAAACGAGGTATTTGGAATTATGCCTAGAATATCTAAAGAAATGCCGAGTAAAGGCAGACTTCCTCAGAAAGAAGAATAATACCTTCGCCGTACCAGCCAGCAATGCTTAAGATCAATCTCGAAACGTTCATTCACGGTCAAAATTCAATCCTTCTTATTAGCTTGAAGCGGCAGCGGCGCTTCAGGAGGTCATCCCGGTGATCACGATTTTTCTGCAACAGAACT